GTTGGAGGAATCCTGGTGCTCTGATTAGTTTTGTTCTCCCAGCTTAATTGTAGAGCTTCCTTTCTCTTATTATTGATAGCCAAAGTGGCTCTGTGTCCTGCCCACCCCCACATCACTCCCTTTTGCTTTAGGAACAAGATTATCACAATGCGGCCTTGTGAATCAATTTTCTCTATGTGCTGATGAAAGTGTAATTCATTCTTAATCAAGCAGCTTTGCTGCTGCAGGCTCAGTGCCGGAATACATTTAGTTACCCTCCCATCACTTTGGGAAACGATCCCCCTGAAAGGACTTTTAGAGGAGAACTGGAAGGAGAGAGTTGGCAGCCAGTCTTGTGCTGTGTTTTTCCAGTAGGGGGCAGTCTTGGGAATGATGCTGGAGTTGCCTTTGTGACTGGAAGCCTTCCAGGGCGCCTGACCTAGAGGCATTGGTGAGCCTGCTGCTTGTCACAGGTGCCTTCGGGTTTGGGGTCTCTAGACCCTGGGCCCTCTCTCAGGAGTGGGCAAGTACCCACTTGTGTCCCGATGGGCTGGCTGAAACCCTCCCCCTCCCCCTGTTGAGTCTGCATGTTGTGTGCCTGTCCCCATTAGGGAGAAACTGCTGGGTACCAGGTCCTTTCTGGGGTTGCAAGGAGCCAACCTCCTATCTTTTTTAAGGAGACTGACATGTCTCTTGAATCTGAAGTAGCTTAGATTGGGTGGACGTGTCCATCTGGTCATACCACACACAGTTTCAGGAGGGTGAGGAGGGCTCGCTCTGTCCAGTCACCCCCTGTCCTGCCCTTTCACAGCCTGGTGACTTTCACGAACAACTGGCAGTTGGAGGGCGAAATGAGCGGGGTAAAGTCACTCTGCCAGAGTTTGGATGCTGGACAGGAAGGATGAGCCCTGCCCAACAGGTGAATTGGAGCCCCCACAAGATTCCAGCCTGGCTGCCTAGATCTGCAGCCGAAAGAGAAAAGGAACTTTGCCTGCTCAGAATGGATTGGATTAGTGACAGATTCGAACAGCCGGTTGGTTCAGTCAAGAGAGAACTTAATTCCTCTTGTATTATTCACACGGCTGATTTTAATCAGATGTGAAGAGACAGCTGGAAGAGAGAAGCGGGTCAGCCCAGTGCCTGGTGAGGAAACTTTGTGTTCTTTTAGTCATCTTCAGGGAACTGGCAAGAGCACAGTGGACTGGAGACTTTGTGAGGATCTGTGTGGTTTGCCGCTTCCCAGAGGAGCGGGCATGACCGCTAGGACTCCTGTGACTGGCCCGGGTCTGGATGCACTGTGGCCTGTGGAAGGCCTGTGACAGCCCAGGTCGCCGGCTTCTGGCAGAGTTCTACCTGCTTGTCCTCAGAAAGATTCAGAGCACTGGACCAGGTTTGGCAGGGCCCAGAATCGTGCAGCCATCATCGGGAGACCCTGCCTGTCTATCTGTGTCCTGAGGCTTTTCTGCTTTATCGCTGACTAAAATTCGGAGATCTCTTCCCGGACAGCCTTGGAGATTCACTGTGGCCTCCGCAGTGTGCTCCTAAAGCCCGCAGCCCGCACACTCGGGGAATCCCCTCAGTTGCCCTCTCCTGGCAGGGCAGGCCAGGTGGTGGGCATGGAGGGGCATTGTTATAGCACCGGAGCAGAGCAAATGCAGGCTGGTGGGTGGGACTCAGGAGACCCAGCTTCGGTTCTCACAGTGCATGGTGAGGAGGCGCAGGCCCAAGTCAGATCATCTCCATGGGGCTCTGCTGGGCCATGCTGAGAGCCAGGATGGTAGGTCACTGAGCAAGAAAAAGGACCAAATGTTGACACAGGCTTATAGGCATTAGGGTGTGAGAGGGTGACAGGAAGCCAGGACACTTGTTAGCTGTTTTTCGTGGGTATGCAAAGAAGACCCACAGAGGCAGTTTATTTTATGAAGGGAGGACTAGCTTTGTGTCATTTCCTCTGAGCCTCCCCTTTCTCTTTATGAAAACCTCCTGCTTGTAGCTGTACTGTAAAGGTGACATTAGTGAGCTTTCTAGAAACAGCAGGTGGTGAAGTGGTGATCCGCAGGTGAGGAGAGTATGCCCAGCCTCTCCCCGCCTGCCTCCCACCCCTGCTCTTCAGCAGGAGCTGTGCCTTCCTGTGTAAGATTTGGGGAGTGCTGGCCAGCTCAGGAGGAGGATATTTTGATGTCTAAGATAAAGGATGCTGCTGAGGTGGAAGCAGGCAGAGGCTGTGGTGGCGACTGGAAGGATTCCAGCAGTGGGCAGTAGATTCCGGTGGTGATTCTCTGACGACAGAGCTAACAGAACTGGAACTGTATACCCAGGAGCTGTACAGTAAGGGGAACAGGTGGGAGCAGTGGTGGCCAGGTCTGGCTCTGGGTCGAGGCAGGAGGCTCCATCTCCCCCTGGCATCAGCAACTGCATCTTAGCTTCCTCTGTCCAGGGCCTCTGCCTGCCCTCCAGCTGCCTGGTACCTCTTGCTGAGGCCCCTTGTCTGTGGTGCTTACTTCTGCTTGACCAGAGAATTTGACTTAGTGACACACATTCCTTGGGGCTGGGGCACAGCTTTCACTTTTGCAAGGTAAGAGGTCAGGCTGAGCTCCTGCTGTGGGATATGGGGTGGGCAGTCCAGGAAGCATCCTACCCATTCTAAGAGGGTTTTGCCTCCTAACGAGCACAGCTTCCAATAACTGGAATCTGGTGCTGCCCAAGCTGCCAAAACCCTCCCCTGGCTCTTGGAGGGGACAGCCAGCATGCTCCTCTGATAGGGGATCCAGGAATTCTTGGAGCCAGTGTTGTACAAATGGGCAGGAGGCTCTCGGAGGCCCCCACAGCCTGGGCTCCCTGCCTGGGGACATGGCCAGGCCTCTCAGGGGCATCCGCTTGCCCTGCCTTGGACAGCAGGATCCAGGGCAGCACATCACACTGCCTTCACCTGCACCCACTTCTAACCTGCACTCTGCTCTGCTCCCCCCACGGGAAAGAGGAGCCAGAACTGGGGGAAGAGGAAACATTTTGACACTGCTATTAGTACTAACAGCTGCTGAGTTCTCATCATGCTGCAGGCACAGTGCTGAGTGCTTCCCAGTCACTCTGCACGTCACCGGGGACTGCCACCACCTCCGCTTCACAGTGGAGAACTGAGGCCGGGGGGGGGGGGGGGGGGGGGGGGGGTGCTGGGTAAGCGACCTGCCCAGGGCTGCACGCTGGTCGGTGGCCCAGATGAGCTTTGGGTCGGGCTGTGCTTTCGGAGCAGGCTGTGAAGTGGTGTGTAGAAGGGCTCTAGGCGGGGCCCTGTCTCCTGAGGATCTGGGATCAGGTGTGGGAAACACCTGAGTGGGGACACTGGGACACTGGGTTTCACACCTTTTACCTTTTGATTTAAACTCTTCTCCCCAGGGAATCCCCCCCACCCAACGCCTTGAGTGTCCTCCTTTGTTCTTCCCCAGGAACCATCCTGGTTCCCATTATCACAGAGCACTTAACTCCGGGCCCTTCTCTGACTGCATTTAGAGAGAAACTCATCCAAACCTGTTTCCCTTCTGGAGGGAGTTCCATTTCAGCAAAGAAATGAAAGCCCTCTCCATTCCCATTAGAGCTGGGCTTTGGGCTTTCCAAAGGGCTCCTGAAATTGGTTCCATGGAAGAAAACAGCTCAGATGCCTCCCTGCGTTCAGCTTGTTAGTCAGGAACTTCAAGGCCAAAAAATTTGGCAGGATTTAAAGAGCTGCCTCTCAAGCTGTCTCATTTTGGGTGCGCTGATGGTGAAGTGTTTGGGTCTAGTCTTCCTCCCATCCTTGGCGTCGTGGATGGTAATGAGGACTTTTTTTTTGGATTCAGAGACTATAAGAGGTCAAGGGAATGGGCCAGACCATCTAGCCTCCCACTGTGGTTTAACTCCAGAGGAAAGAGACTCAGAAGGTCCAGGGCGCCTGAGGCTACACAGTGAGCTGGTGACAGAATTGGTGCCTTCTCCTGCCTGTGTGGTGCCCTCACCTTCCTCACACATCTCACCTGGTTTCATTAGCGCATATCTCTTATTCACTCAACAAACGTTTGCGCTCCTATTAGGTGCAAAGCATGAAGTTAAGTGGTTTGGGGGATTGAAAACCAATTGCTGGCTGAGAAACCCGGTCTTGTCTGAGTGGTTGATTTCAGGAGTAGAGTAGGGAGCCAAGTGCTTCTGTTTGGGGAGATCCTAGAAGTTGCCTCCAAAGTTAGGAAGCTGGGGTTCAGCAGTGCAGGAGGTAGGAAAGTCTAGTGTCTCATCCTTCACACCAGGAGCTCACCTTTGATCCCTTCCTCCCTTCCCTGTCTCCCAGCTCTGTGCTGCTCAGGGCAATGCTCTTCCGCTCTTCCGGGGCAGCCTTAGTTTCTGGCGGAACACTGCCTGTGGGCACCGTCCTCCCTGCCTGAACCAGCCCCACCGACAAAAGCCTCTCGCCTCCCAGTTCATGGAAGGAAACCCCCTCTCAGCTGCTGGGTCGTGGGCAAGTCAGCCCTAGGCCACCCGAGGAACCAAGGAGCAGAAGGGACAAGCTCTTACTCATGCAACACAGGCCTGCCTTGCATGAGGCCGTGTTGCCTTGCCCAGTGGCATCTCCAGGGTATGAGGACCCAGGCACTTACCCTGACAGGCTGTTCCTGTGAGCCCTGGCAAGGATTAGCATCCCAGGCTGGCACCGCTGCAGACAGCACATCACAGAGGTCATCTTTGAGGCTCTTTTGTAGACGGGAATGTGAAACTCTGTTTAAATGTCCAGGGATCTCATGCCATTGTGAGATGACATTTTCCTGCTGACGTGCTTTTGCCCCACCAGCCTTCCCTCCTGGCATGTCTTCATTTGTCACCTCCTCATTTGAATTCTTGGGCAACTCTGGACTGATCACCAGCTTCTTGAACAGCTATTTGAACAGTCTTCCCTTTCATTCCAAACCACCTTTGAGGTTGGTCCACAGCAGGATGGCACCCTGTTACGAAAGAGCGGAAATCGGTCCCCCTTCAACTTCTTCTTTGCTTCCTTGCAGCTCACCTTGCAGAGTGCCAAGTCCCGAGTGGCCTTCTTTGAAGAGCTCTAGCAGGTGACCCAGCCACCCCAGGATCTGCCACTTCTGCTGCTCCCTGCACCGGCGGGATGGGTCAGACAACACGGGAGCCATCTGTAGTTGAGCTGTCTGGGAGCTTCCGTGGGAGCTCTGGAACTTTCCCCAGCTGAGTGGAGAGCCCAGCCCCCTTCTTGTGCAATTGCCTTGAACCTTGACCCTGCAGAGCTCTCTCTCACAGGGTTTGAGTTCTCCTCACCCGAGTCTTTAAATTTTTTGAGAAGTATTTGTCTTTCCTTGTCTATCGAGGGGTCCTATTTCTCCTTCGTGAAAGGTACCCTGGGGTGTGCATCTTACTGTCCAGTGCTGGGAAGTGGTTGTAGGGAATGAAGTGCACAGTCCCCCCGGAGACCTGGAGACTGGTGCTAACACCCTCACCTCCCCAGGGTTCCAGAACATTCATCTGCTCCTGTTGAGATGAATGGCATGCATCTGTTGAGGTACTGACATGCAGAGAAGAAGCATGGCCCACCTGAACCGAGGCCCAGAGCGACCTGCCTGCACATCGTCAGTGACCATATGCCCACTGCTCACAGTGAGCCAAGCGATGGGCCCTGGGCCCAGGCACCCTGGGCAGCCGAGCCATCTCGCTGCCAGTTGGCAGGGAATGGGAAAGGGAGCTGTGACTGGGGAAAGATTTTAGGTAGAAGCTGTGATGACGGTCTGGCTGCCAGCAGAGGGTCTGGGAGGCCAGTAGAGCCTTGTAAGAATCTGCACCACACAGAACATTCATGGAACTCCTACCACCCCAGACCAGGGTCCTAGAGGCATGCAGGGAGCCAGGTATGTCTTCCCCACTTCCCTTCAGCCTTAGCCTCTCCTGCCTGTGCCGGACAGGGGTCTCCCTGTCATGCTCTAGTCGGCACCTGATAGCCCAGCCCTGACGGGGGCAGGGAGGGCTCTTAAGGCACTCGAGCCTCATGGGCACTGCCTCCTACTGCCCAAACACTGAGCTCTACCGCCCCCATCTGTGGGGCTCATCTGAATCACCTTTTCTCCAGGTCACTACCAGCCCCTCCTAACCCATTGTTGTCCCTGGGCCTCATTTTGCTGTTGCCTTTGTCCCCCAGAAAGCCCTTTATGTACCTTATATATCAGAAGACCTGCGGGCTGTGTGGGGTCCCTTTGTCCACCCCTCCCCCCCAGTGCGAGCCAGTCACAGGGTCACTCACAGACGGTGCTTCACACCCGCTGGCACGCAGCTCACCTTCATGGGGGCAGCAACAGGTCACAGAACCACCCGTAGTCACACTCACACTCACTACTTGGGTTGGAGCCATTCTCCTTTCCTCTCTCCATGGCTGCCAGTGCCAGGCAACCAACTGTCCCTTCAGATCCCTCCACTGGGGCTGTTGTGTAGAGCAGGTGATTTGTCTTAACCAGGGAAAGGATGATTGTTAGATGAAGACAGGGGAAGGCCTGGAGATTTCCTGAGAACAGAGGTGTCTTTGGCAATTCTATGTGGTTTTGAGAAACTGAGCCTTTTTTCCAGTCAGGCTGACCTCGTGGTGTCTGGTACCGCCTGCCAGCTTCTCGGGCCACCTTGCCCTAAGGACGTCAGCCCTCTGTGTCAGCAGCCTTTAGGACATGTAGGGTGGGGCTCCGCCTCTGAACACTAAGCATAGATGACTGTGACTAAAACAATTCCCTGTGTCTCCCTCTCCCTCAAAGGTCTCTTCCCGCAACCTGGGTGGGGGTTTGGGGAAGGGACATCCTCAGGCGTTTGTAACTTAAGCTCTGGTTCTTGTGTTGCGACTCCATCAGGCTCGCCACGCATCCCTGAATTTCCGTGAGGAAATTTCCTCCCGACCTGTGAATTTAATCTGTAACAGTACTGTGGGCACAGGAGCTGGCTGGTGGCTTATAAAACGTTGTTAGACCTTGTTTTTTCATTTTTTAAACTGCTATGTGTAAGTCTGAAGTCCGGGAAATGCCCAGCCGTGTGGCCACAAAGGAGCCAGCTGGTGTCTGAGCTGTGACAGGACCACCCTCAGCCTGGAGCAGACTCACTCAGCCTGAACACTTGGGCTCTCCTTGGAGACGAGAGCTGGCGGGCACCTGGCCAGGTGGGGAGGATGGCAGCCCTGAGAAAGGGGAGCTTGTTTTTCAGAGACTTGTGCCTGTGGCCACCTGACTGCTTTCTTTCTAAGTGAACGTTTTTAGGGCAGAGGAGCTTCTCAAGTAAGGACGTCCACTGAGAGCAGGGCCCTGGCTGCGATTATTTCATTACGAGACTTCTGATGGTTCTTGGGCAGCAACACCACGCTGGGAAAACACTGCCCGGCTAGCAACACTCCGTGGGACTGTGCTATTGACCCTTACCTGTGGCAGCACAGACCACCTAGTTCACCCTGACCGAGCCCCCACCTCAGCCACAGCACCCTGACCTGTGGTACCTGCTCAGTTATTCATGTGCCTGCCAGACCCTGCTAGACAACACCCCGTGGCATTACATAACACTTCTTAAGTGACTGTGTTTTGTAATCTAGGGGACAGATTTCTCTCTCTCTCCCTTTTTTTCCCTTTCAAATCAAAACAGCAAGACCAGAGGCTGACAACCAGCTACGGTGACTAAGTGTTCCTCACTGACAGGGCTGGGGCCAGGCAGCCCCTGGAGAGAGTGGCCTTGGCAGGGAGACAGCTTCCCCCAGATGCCCTGGAGCCAGGATGCCCCTCTTGGGCTTCCAGGGATACTCCATCCATTTTCAAAGATGTCAAACCCGACCTCCCTTCAGGCCAGAGTCCCGCCTCCTGTCAGGGCCACACCATGGAAAGCTAGTTTCTATTCTGGGGGACTGTTGTAATTTAAATGATTGTTTTAATAAAAATTCTAAGTTGTAAAAAGTTTGTCTTGGACTTCCTCAGTCTGCTTGTTGCGGAGATGACACTGGGTGGCAAGGCTGCCTCTCGTGGGCTCTGTGAGGGAACTATCCTCCCAGACTGCCAGACTTCAACACGAGTCCCATGTCTTAAAAGCATCACCTTTTCCGTGCTGATGATACAGCACCCCTTACTATACCTTCATCTGGGAACTTCCTTCCCTTTTCCTGCGGGGTATACAGGGTCAGAAAGGACCCAGAACCAGGTCCCAGTGCCCTCATTTCCTCTCCACACGCCCCGTCCACTCCCAGTTCCAGACCTGAAGAGTAGGGCACTGGACTGGGTGATCTCCTAGGTGCTTCTCCTTCCTGGTTGCCCCATTCTGGGTCTGGAGAAAGTGGGTGGTGGGGAGGCTTGCAGAGCCACCGGGGCCCTGGGCACTGTCTGCAACAGCTAGTGACACCGAGCTGTTGTCCTGAAGCCACACGACATTCACACTCGAATCACACTTGAGGTTGGGAATTACCACTGCAGAGCTTGCATTTTTCGTTTTGTTTCTATTTTCTTTTTTTAATCTACATAAGTCCTTTATTAAGACCAAAACCTAATAAACTATCTCAAATCACACTGTCCAAAATCAGAGATTTCAGTGGCACAGTGAGTTATCAAGACTTCCAAGGGAACAGTCATGCCTGTCAGACATGTCAGAATACATTTCAGGTCTTCACTGTACAAGCAGTAAGGAAAATAACCTATCAGAACACCCCAGATTTTCCGAAAGAATTTGAGTTAAATATAACTCTTTATGTTTTAGAAAGATATGTTTAAAGTTGTAAAAACTAGGGAATTGTGGGCCTCCCTGGTGGTGCAAGGGGTTAAGTCTCAGCACTGTCAAGCTGTCACTAGCCACTGCAGAATGAGTTCCATCCCCGGCCAGGGAGCTGACCCACATGGCGCAGCAGACCTCTCCTGTCTTACCCACTGCTCCCCTCAGCAGTGTATTTCAGTAGATCTGCCTCTTCTGCTCTCCACTCTTGTCTCTGGTGTATCCTCTCACCCCCTATACCTCTGGCCTACACCCCAGCTCTTGTAAGCATTTAAAAAAAAAAGGAACTTATTTAAAAAAACAAACTAGGGTGCAAGAGGTTAAGCACAGCACTGTGAAGCTATCCGCAGCCTCTGCAGCACAAGTTCGATCCAGCTGGCCAGGGAGCTACCTGCATAGCACAGCAGACCTTTCCTGTCTCACCCGCTGCTCCCCTCAGCAGTGTATTTCAGTCAGTCTGCCTGTTCTGTTCCCCACTCTGTCTCTGGTGAATCCTCTCACCCCTGCACGGCTGGCCTGTACCCCAGCTCTTGTATGCATAAATAAATAAATCTTTTAAAAAAACAAACTAGGAAATTGTAACATTATTTTGTTTTAAATTTATAAATTTAGTAACTATATTAAGCTGCTTATTGGAGAAATAAGGTAAAATAGCCTCATTTTTTTAAAAGGCCGATGCTATTTTCAATGGTTCGAAATAGTTTGATTTTCTGTGTAGTCTAAGCCCGAAAAAGTACTTCATAATACTGAGCATTTTGAAACCATCCAGACAATATTTTCACTGATTTTTTTTTTAAGCTACCTCCTAACCCTCATAAGATAGTAATGTGTTCACACAGCTCTCGAGGTTTCCATAAGTGTGGCTAAAATTAATCGTATTGGGATTTGGTATGGGATGACCGGTCGATTTCTCCTCCGCCTTTGTCCCCTTCTGTTTTGACTGTGCTGTCAGCCCAAAGCTGCTGACCGGGTCTCAGTACTTAATTGTGGCGTTTGCAGCCCACTCTCATGGGATCCCTGCGTGGATCCTCTGGCCTCCCTGCCAACACTTTGTCCTTTTGCCTTTGGTCCTCATCTGAGAACTGAGAGCCTGGCAGATGTGCCCACGCCACCCACCCCGGCAGCCTTCACTTTGGAGGAGCAGCTCGGGAGCCTCCCACATGTAACAAGTTGGCAGCAGGACTGGGCCGGGGAAAGGTATTGGCGAGATTGCTGCAACCGTGTCTAATCTAAATTTTTGTACGTCTGGGGAACAGAAAGTCGAGCCATACGCAGTCTCTTTCCTTCTCAGACAGCGCAGACAGCTGCGAGAGGCCAAGGGCTCCTCTCCCCTCCCGGCCGGAGTGGCGGGGCTCCCTGGCAGCCTGTCATCACTGCATTACGGCAGGAGGCTGCCTCGGCAGGCCGCAGTCCCAGGGCTCGCTCACAGACAGCTCGGCCATCCGTCAGCTTCACGAGCACCTGAAGTGTCTCCGAGAGGAACCCGCCATGTCCTCTCCTGGTTCCCTCTCGATGCCCATTTCTCATTGGGGAGGTAGCCCCAGGACAGCACCTGGCATGATGCCTCTAAGCCGAAGAAATCAAGACATCTGAA